TTATCAATCTACTTTGCAAGCACCTCTCCCAAATTAAAGAAATATGTTTATAGGATTATCTGACTATGATTAAAAATATAAGATAATAACTTTCAAAATCTTGGGTGATGACATGACAGATCAAGGAAAAAAGGGAAATTCTTATAAAGTTATATATATATTGAGATAGAATGATTCACACTTTTTTATACATTTTGATTTCTTTTTAAATTAAGGTTTCTCTTAAATTATGGCTCTAAAATAAGGAGGTCTACCTTTGTTTACAACCTACCTTTTTTTGTTGTTGTTGTTCATACCATTCTCTTTCATCTTCAGGAGATCTCTTTTATTATTGAACTTTTATCTAACCTGATTTCACATCCAAAATGTTAATTCTGGTAAATTCCTAAGGCTTCTGCATCAAGCTAAAGAAAACACTAGTTTATGTGAATGAAGTCTTTATCATTCCAAATTTCTGTTATAATTAGTTTAGAAGAACAAATCCATGTTATGTCTATTTCTATTCTTTTCCTCATCTGTGACAGAGGAATGAGTCATTAGAATTTTAATGTCCCCATTACATGCCAGAAGTTGCCTGTTGTTATGCTTTAGCTGAATTCTGACTGGCTAATCTACTCTCCCTTTTATTAAAAGAGAACAGGAATGGGCTGCTTATCAAACAACATAGCTTGGAAAAGGTCAAATGAGTGCAAAATCATCTGTCTATCATTAAGTGGTGACAGAATTAGAAGACTTGCTTTTGTGACTAAGAATGAAATTGGAACACAGAATGTCACCACATGAATCAAGAATGACAATGAATATGAGTAGAGTAGGAATGGTGAATAATTTATTTTTAAACAATCTGATCATATGTAAAAATTCTGAAAGAACATCTTTACCCATAGGAAATTATTCTAATAGTAGTACAATTGTTAAATAATAATGTGGTGGTAATATTTTATTTTTCCCACTTAACCTGATTGTAAAACTCTTTTTCTGGATATATAAAAATAAGCTATGTACTATTCTTTTTTTTTAAATTTTAAAGTATTTTATTTTAATTTTATGTAAAAGAGTCTTATTTCTATTGTAAGACATAATTTTTAGATGACCAAATTAAGAAAGCTCATGTAGTTCAGTTTGTAATCTGTGCATACTCACAGAAACAGTTGCAACACCAATTAAGGCAGTTATTTTTAAGTCAGATCATGCTAGTTTAAACAGATGTAGCAAGAGGGGGAATGCTGATTCAATTTCTTCAATGGCTCCAGGAAGAGTTGCTGATGACCTATCTTGCTTTCTCAGATGCAATGATACAAAAGCTCTATGCTCAAAATAATTAGAAAATTTCCCTAACAAAACAGTGTATCTTTCAACTTAATCTTAAGGTTTTTTTTAAGTTGAAAACAGTTTTGAGTTTATATCAGGTGTTATTTTTAGAAATAAATTCGATCTATGTTATTTATTATTAGGTTTCTTGTCAGTTTATTTTTCCTACTCAGTTTATTTTTCCACCAGAAAAGCTGCCAAATTATAATCTGATAGTGTAATTTATCATGTATTAAATAGACTTTCAAATTATTCAATCTAGAGAGGTTATTTCTTCTGCTATGGGTAAAGTCTAACTTTATTTTAACATATTAATTTTATTTCTCATTACTTTAGAATATTACAATAGGTCTTTGCCATTTCAGAACTGGAATCTATATGCCAACCACCAAATTAAATTTTTTTGAAAGACATATTTTTTTGTGGGCTAATCAGAATGATTGCTTTTCTTTCTAACATATCTTGGAAATTTTCTTTGTGGCTGTACAAATTTTCAAAAGTTTTATTGTAGGAAAATGAGAGGAGATGAACAAATGTGAGGTTCAATCTAATGACTGAAAAATGTTTGTGCTATCTGTATTGCGCAGTAGATTCTGTCCTCTTTATCTCCCTAAGTATCCATCTTTGGCAATTCTATTTATTTAGTTTTAAGTGTTGAATATCTGCAGATCAACAGAAAAAGTTTATATATATATATATGTTATAACAATCCTAAAGCACCTGACCAATTATCAAAAGTTGGTTTTTTGACCTAACAATTGCTTTGGTATCTAGCAGGCTCAGAGAAGTTTTCCCATTATTGTGTTATAGACATGCCATCTATAACAGAAATAGAAATCTTGGAAGTACAGAAACAGGTGTTGATAGAAGTAAAAGAATAATTGGCAAAGCAAAGAGCTAAATTAGGTGATTTGGAAGAAAATCAGACAATCATGCTTAAGGATATAATTTAATATTTCATGGAAGTTGAGAAGTAGACAACAAAATGTTATGTGCAAACTAAGAGAAAAATAGAGAAGACCCAGAAAACAAAAGTCACTACTAAAGTGTGTGATTTATAGATCTGCCAGAGGGGACTCTACAAATCATGATTTCAGTGAAATTATTTGAAAAATCTATTTAGAGTTGTGCAATGTGGAGGCTAAGGGAAGAGTGGAATAAAATTGATAGAATCCTTCACCTTCATATGCTCAACACATGACTTAAAGTCTCAGTAAAAGTGCTGTTGACAGTATTTTACTCCATGATATATAAAGAAACTGTCATTGCCCTGAGTCCCTATTAGTAATAATGACAATTTACAGTTGGATTAGACAACATCAATTTGTTCAATCTTTATTCATATTGCTTATGATACTCTTTTTGTTATTGCAGAGGGGAAAACAATCAGGTTAGTACCTACCATATAGCTAATTCTCTATGTTTATAAATCTAATTTTCTTTTCATTATTCCCCTTTACATATTTTAGTCCTGGAATAGAAAATAAAAACTTCGTGAGAATGTGGATCACAAAAAATGTAAGAAGATGAAAAACATAATTGGATACAGACAACAGATTGAATATTGCTCAAATGTGATGACACATCAAAACATCTCCTACAAATGCAAACACCTAATTCGGTCCAGTGTTCAGAGTTCAGGGTTGCCCTGTCTGAAACAGGTAGTAGACTATAAGATAAACTTGCAAACAAGAGGAGGGTGTCTGTAACAATCCTCAGTGACAGCTCTTTTATAATTCATTAATTCTCAAAGATTGGTCTAAGAATAGGAACTACTCATGAAAATATACTAATTCTATGATCTAAGAATTTTTAAGGGCTCTTACTGATAACTGAATGACTGAAGAAGTAATATATCAAAATAATTGAGTGCCTACTATGCTCAAGGCCAGTTGAGGAAGTGTTACAAATAAATCCTAAGACCCATTTAAGACTGTTAAGACACTGTTTGCATTGTTCCTATGCAATAGAAAAGTTTAATATTATGGCATCCAGCCTAATAGCACCTAGATTATATTATGTCATTATTAAATGCTAAATAAGAATTGCTCATTGATTGGCATATTCATTAATTATTAATTGCTGGTGTGGCATCAATATACGCCTCTTTTCTTCATTCTCTCTAGACACCAATACCCCTTCCTAAAATATCAGCTATTGGGAAATGAGAATAAGAGAGTGGAATGGGTAATGATGTAGTTTTTGCAGTCAGTGGGTTTCGAGTGCAGGATCCTTGGGTTCCCTCTGGAAAATGTATCGTTAGGTTATCCCCTTTCAGCAGCACATGGTGAGTTTCCCAGGTGAGTTTCTCCACAAGACAGAGATTTTAATATATTAAAAAATAAGCAGGTTTATTAGGAAAAGGGATAGAGGAGGAAAAGGCATTTGCATAGATACAAGTGGGCAGGAAGAACTGCCCTTTAAGGGACAGGTTTGCTGAGAGATAGGTTTGTATGGTTGCAGGCGGGTGGCCTTGAGGAAAGCTGTGTCTGTTAAGGAATCTCAATGAGAAGGTCCTAGAATAGTACCGATCACAGGGAGGCAAGAGGCTGCTGCTATGCAGAGGGAAAGTGTTGGTGAGAAGTCACCCGTGGGCAGCAAGACTAGGTTTAGCATCTTCTTTCGGTAGGGAGGGGTTCATCTTCACCTTCAGGTCTGTGCTCTTGACTCTCCCTATGGCAGTCTGAAAATTTCTATAGCTGGATTAAGAGCCATGTTAATACACTTACTACCCCATCTCCTTGTGTGACCTTGAGACAGGCCTGCCTTGTGGTATCTCCTTTCCAGTTTTTCTTATTCTTATCCTCCATGTGGCATAAGGGTTAATAACTATAACCTTTGGGTATTGCCCTTCAATATATTATTGTAGAAAACTGAAGAACATAGCTATCCCTCTCCTTTTTTTTTTTTTTAATTCTACACTGAGCCCCTGCAGTATAAGACAGATTGATAAGATGGAAAAAAACAAAAAGTTATTAATATGTTCATCTTTTGTTTACATGGAAGATATCCAGGAATTTGAGTAACCCTGAATAACTCTTTGAGGTAGCTTAGAACTCAGACCTTTCCTATATACCATCTTCAGATTTTTTTTTAGCTCTTTCAAAGGATTTATTTGCTACAGATTACTTGAACCCACCAAAGAGAATCAGGATTTCTGTGTTTAAAAGGATTTTGCCCACTGCTTTATTTTCCCATGTGCTTCAACATTCAAAAAGCAATTCCTTTTTCCAGTACCTGGCATGTCTAGAACAGGTTAGAAAAAGTTATAATCTATAGAATTAGATGTATTGAAATAGAAAGAACCTCCACCCCCAAACATTAAAAAAATTCCTCATTTGAAAAAGTACTGCGTTGAAATCCCATTCATCTGCAAAAAGAACTTTTTTCAGGTCAGAAATCCTGTATTTTACAACTCTAAGTGCTGACCTTGGACTTGAATGGTGAGGATTCAAGACACTGAATGAGTAACAGGAGAGATGACATTCAGTTGGTCAATTCTGACATGTGTTTTACTTGGCATGTGAAGTTTTGTAATTATCTCTTAACCTAAACTCCTGGTTCCTGAAGTCCATTGTCCCAATCTGATTCTCAGTATTTAAAAAATAAATTAACAAAAATTTCCCCTGGGAGCTCATATATTTAAATATCTGTTGTTTGTGGGTAGGAACAGAGAAACCACGTATGAATTAACAATTCAGCGATGGAGCTGTCAAACTCAGGATGGCTATGAAAGCAGTAAGCAAAGGCCTTTGTTGGTCTTGCAACTTGCTTGTGTACAAGAAGTACCCATCTAGGCAAGGGCAACCAGAAGAGGGTGTGAACCCCAGCAGCTACTAATCGTTTTGAACCCCTCTGCCATTGATCTGCTTCCAGCTCTTCTACCAAAGCAGCTAGTTTTTCCATTTTTGCAACTTGCTGATCATGTTTCACCTTTAAAAAAAAAAAAAAGATTTATTTATTTGTGCATACAGAACTGGGGTACAGGCCAGAGGCTCAAGGGTGGCGGGAGGCTTCACCAGAGACAGAATGGGGAGCAGAACAGGCAGATCGAGGAAGTACACTGCTGAGGGGAGCAGCAGGTGGGTCAGGAGAGGTCTGCCATGCCATGTGGTGACCTGCGGGGCAGGCGGGAATCGAACTCATGCGGAAGTGGCTTCTTAGTGCTGTGCTTTAACCCGCTGTGCCACCAGGGAGGGCCCATGTTTCAACTGTTTAAAAGTAGATGCTACTTGAGAGCTGAAAACGGATTCACAGAGGAATCTCTCAGAGCCATCTTCTAACATCTCTCCAGCTCCTTTTGGGTAGGTGAAAAGGACTTTCCGTGGTGGAACAAGGTCTGAGACACTGAAACCAGATCCAGTGACAGAACTTCCACTGACTCCACCAGCTAAGGCTGAGAATAAAGAGGCAGCCATTTCCTCTGTATCAGAAGTCTCTCTTCACTGAGAGGAATTCCGGGTCCTTAACCTCCTCATGGTGAGGTGGTGTACCTGAGGCAGTAGAGTGCTCATCTCTTCTCTCGCCTTCAGGCACTTGTGTTTTTGTTAGCCTTTTGGTTCAGGGCTTGCAATTCCCCTACATCAGGGCTTGCATTCTGCTTTATCTCCAAACCACCATGAAGCTGTGTAACTGGGTGGTCCCTAGGAAAAGGGGAAGTTCCAGGTTCCCTGCCCCACCCAGAAGGAGGGTGGAGCTGAGCAGAGAAAAAAGGAGAGAAGAGAAGGAATCAGAAGAGAAGGAGAAGAAAAGAAGCTGGATGGAGAGCCAGAAGGACCTGAGGAAGCCCCATGGAGCAGTAAGCATGTGAGGAAGAAACCGTGCTTGTTTCCTGACCCTGGACTGGTTAAGGCAGATGTGGGTGAGATACCTGTATGGAGGTGACTATGGCATTGTTTATATTGATTTTGATTTTGCTCTTTTCCTCCCAGACTTGTCTGGCCATTTCTGATCCTTTCTATGGGTACCAGGCAGAAGGTGCTTTAGTATTGTGGCAGCTTTTAGGCCTTGCTTTGGGCCAATCCCTTTTGGGTTGACTTTTAAGCCCACGAGAGGATTGGTAGCTTCAGGTGTTTGATTTAGACATTACATTCTTTGTCTTCTGTATTGTATACTCACTGTGTTAAAGTCCCTTTTCATTAAAGTTTTATATGTTTTGTCTTGATGCAGCGGATGGCAGAGCCCACTTAGAGCATGCAGGTTTGGGGCTTCAGGGGTGCCCTCTCTCTCCCTGCCCTGTAACAGATTGCAGGTTTGCAGCTTCTGGGATGCCCTCTCTCTCCCTGCCCTGTAGCAGCTGTAGTGAGTTGGTTAGTCCTCCTTCCTTTCAGCTGTCTCTTAGCCCCAGGTGGTATAGATAAGGGGAAGAAGTTTGCTGTTTGAGACACTATCTCATTTTTCAGAGCTCATAGCCTGAGGGCTCCACTATAACTTTCAAAACAGATTTTGTGGAGAGCCTCTTTTTATTTTTTCAAATAATTTAATAGTTTATTTTTACATCATTTTGTGCATTCTTTTTACATCTCAGTTGTAATCCCCATGGGCTTCCCATCAACAAATCACCCATGTGCCAACACCATAGTCCAGTGCTTTTCCTTCCCCCCACTGTTTTTGATCCCATCCCCCACTCCACCCCCATAAAACGTCTTTGGTATATAACTGTTCATTATTATGATTATTTTCTTGCCTGTTCTGTTATACTTCTGCTATGAGTGAAACCATCTGGTATTTTTCCTTTTCTTTCAGGCTTTTTTCACTAAGCATGATCTTTTTCAGCTTTATCCATGTTGCTGCAAAAGGCATGTGTTTATTTTTTGTGGTTGCTGAGTAATATTCCATTGTGTATATGTACCACATAATTTTTTTTTTTGAAGATTTATTTATTTGTGTATACAGAACTGGG